AATATAAGAATATCTGGATCATAGGGATACCAGAAGGAGATGAATAGGAACAAGGAATAGAAAACCTTTTGAAAAAGTTATAGCAGAAAATGTCTCTAACTTGATGAAGAAAAAAAGACATGCAAGTCCAAGAAGCATGGAGGGTCCAAATCAAAATGAATCCAAAGAGGCCCACTCCAAGACACATCATATTTAAAATGGCAAAATTTAAAGACAAAGAATCTTAAAGGAAGCAAGGGAGAAACTGCTGGTAACATACAAGGGACCTCCAATGAGGCTATCAGCTGATTTCTCAACAGAAACACAACAAGGCAGAAGGGAATGGAAAGAATTATTCTAGGAAATGAAAAGCATACACGTGCAACCAAGGCTACTCTACCTTTCAAGGCTCTCATTTAAAATGGAAGGTGAAATAAGGAGTTTGCCACACTAAAAGAAAAAGCTGAAAGTATATATCTCCACCAAATCAGCATTGCAAGACATGCTAAAGGGGCCACTTTAAGAAGATTTAGGAAAAAGAGAGAGAGCAGCACAAGTACAAGGGAAAAAATGGCACTGAATAAGTACCTTTTGATAATAACCTTAAATGTAAATGGATTAAATGCTCTAAGCAAAAGACATAGGGTAGCTGAATGGATAAGAAAGCAAGAGACCAATGTCAGAGCAAAAGATCTACACAGACTGAAAGTGAAGGGATTGGAAAAACAGCAAAAACAATTATTCCAACCAAATGGACATGAAAAAAAGGCTGGGGTTGCAATACTTATCAGACAAAGTAGATTCTAAAACAAAGGCGATAAAAAGAGACACAGAATGACATTTCTAATATGGAAGGGAATAATCCATCAAGAAAATATAACCCTTGTATACATATATATACCCAACATAAGAGCACACAAGTGTATAAGGAAAATCTTGGAGGACTTCAAGAAAGGCATTGACAGCAACACACTCATAGTAGGAGATTTTAACACCCCATTATCAAAAGTGGATAGGTCTTCCAAACAAAGAATCAACAAGGGTATTGTGGCATAGAACAACAGCCTATATCAAATGGATTTAATTGATACATACAGCTTTTCACCCCAAATAAACAAAGTATACATTCTTTTCAAATGCACATGGAATATTTTCAAAGATAGACCACATGGTAGGATACAAAACAAGCTTCAAGACATTCAAGAAAATTGAAATCATACCAAGCAGCCTCTCAGATCATAATGACTTGAAACTAGAAACTGACCTCAAGGAAAAACTCAGAAACATTCAAATGAATGGAGACTAAATAACATATGCTGTTAAATAATGAATGGGTTAATAATGAGATCAAGGAAGAAATCAAAACATTTCTGGAAACAAAAGAAAATGAACACACAACAGCACAGAACCTATGGGACACAGCAAGTCCTAAGAGGGAAGTTCATAGCAATACAGGCCTCCCTAAAAAAGAAAAATTTCAAATAAATCACCTAAACCAACATCTACAAGAAGTAGAGGAAGAAGAATAAACAAAACCCAGAGTGAGTAGAAGGAAGGAAATAATCAAGATCAGAGCGGAAATAAATAACACAAGAGACTAAAAGAACAATTCCAAGGATCAGTAAATCCAGGAACTGGTTCTTTGAAAAGGTAAAATCGACAAGCCTTTAACCAGACTCGTCAAGAAAAAAAGAGAGGACCCAAATAAGTAAAATCAGATATGGAAGAGGAGAAATTACAACTGATTCAAAGGATTGTAAGAAATTATTATGAACAACTATATGCCAAGAAGTTAGACAACCTGGGTGAAATAGACAAATTTCTAGAAATATATAATCTTCCAAAACTGAATCAAGAAGAAGCACAAAGCCTGAATAGACCAATAACAGCTAGTGAAATAGAAGCAGTAATGAAAATACTCCCCACACACAAAAGCCCTGGATTGGATGACTTCACAGGTGAATTTTACCAAACATTTGGGAAGAACCAACTTGTATCCTTTTCAAACTATTCCAAAAAATTCAAGAAGAAGGAAGACCCCCAAACTCATTGTATGAGGCTGGTATTACTCTAATTCCAAAACCAGGTAAAACACGTCAAGGAAAGAAAACTACAGCCCAACATTGCTGATGAACATGGATGCTAAAATCCTTAACAAAGTATTGGCAAACCGGATCCAGCATTACATTAAAAAGATCATACACCATGATCAAGTGGGATTCCTCCCAGGGATGCAAGGATGGTATAATTTTTGCAAATTAATAAATATAATATACCACATAAACAAAATGAAAGACAAAAACCAAATGCTCATATCAATAGATGCTGAAAACACTTTTGATGAAGTACAGCACCCATTTAAAATAAAAACCCTCAGCATAGTGGAAATAGAGCTAGCATACCTCAATATAATAAAGGCCATATATGAGAAACCTAGAGCCAACATCATACTAAATGGGCAAAATCTATAAGCTTTCCCCCTAAGACCAGGAACAAGACAAGTGTGTCTGCTTTTACCCCTTTTATTTAACATAGTATTGGAAGTCCTAGCCACAGTGATCATACAGGAAAAAGAAATAAAAGGCATCCAAACTGGAAAGGAGGAAGTAAAGCTGTCACTATTTGCAGACTACATGACAGTGTACATAGACAATCTTACAGGCTCCATCAGAAAACTACTTGACCTAATAAGTGAATTCAGCAAAATAGCAGGATACAAAGTCTATATTCAGAATCAAAGGCATTTCTGTACACCAACAATGAAATCAGAAAGAGAAACCAGGGGAAAAAATCCCATTTACTATAGCAACAAGAAAAATAAAGTACCTAGGAATAAACTTAACCAAGAAGGTTAAAGACTTATACTTGGAAAATTACAGAACACTGAAAAATATTAAAGAAGATATAAATAAATGGAAGCATATGCCGTGTTCATGGATTGGGAGAATTAACATGATTAAAATGTCTCTGCTACCCAAAGTAATGTGTAGATTCAGTGCAATTCCTATTAAAATACCAATGACATATTTCACAGATTTAGAACAAATATTTCAAAAATGTATATGGAACCAAAAATGACCCTGAATAGCCTCAGCCTTGAGAAAGAAGAACAAAGTGGGAGGGACTACAAGACCTGATAACAAACTGTACTACAAGGCCACTGTAATGAAAATAGCCTAGTACTAGCATAAGAACAGACACATGGATTAGTGGAACCGAGTAGAGAGCCCAGAAATAAACCCATGTCTCTATGGTCAATTAATATTTGACAAAGGCGGAGTAAAAATGGAGTAAAAATAGCCTTTTCAACAAATAGTGTTGTGAGAACTGGAATGGTACATGCAAAAAAATGAAATTAGGCCACGAATTTACACCATGCAGCAGAATAATCACAAAATAGATACAAGACTTACACATAAGTCATGACACCATAAAAGTCTCAGAGGAAAACATAAACAGTAAAATTTCAGATATCCTACACAGCCGTATTTTCACCGATATATCCTCCAGGGTAGGGGAAGTAAAGGATAGATGAAACACATGGGACCACATCAAATTAAAAATCTCTGCATGGCTAAAGAAAACGTCATCAAAATGAAAACAGAACCAACTATATGGGAAAACATGTTTGCCCGTGATATCTCAGATAAGGGTTTGATCTCCAAAATACATGAAGAACTCATACAACTCGACACACGGAAGACAAACAATCCAATTAAAAAATGGGCAGAGGACCTGAACAGACATTTCTCCAAGCAGGACATACACAGGGCCCAGAGCCATATGAAAGGATGCTCAACATCACTAGCCATCAGAGAGATGCAAATCAAAACCACAATGAGACACCACCTTACACTGATCAGAATGGCCATCATTAACAAACAACAAGTGCTGGTAAAGATGTGGAAAAAAGGGAACCCTGCTGCACTGTTGGTGGGAATGCAGACTGGTGTAGCCACTGTGAAAAACAGTATGGAATTTCCTCAACAAACTAAAAATGGAGCTGCCTTTTGACCTGGCAGTACCACTGTTGGGAGTATACCTTAAGAACCCTGAAACACCAATTCAAAAGGACCTATTCACCCCTATGTTCATATGAGCATTATTTACAATAGCCAAGTCCTGGAAACAGCCTAAGTGCCCATCAGTAAATGAGTGGATCAAAAAACTGTGGTACATTTCACAATGGATACTATGCAGCAGAAAGAAAGAGCTCCTATCTTTCACGACAGCATGGATGGAACTGGAGAATGTTATGCTAAGTGAAAAATGCCAGGCCATAAAAGACAAATACCATTTGGTCTCACTTATAAGAGGAACCTAATGAATAAAACAAATGAGCAAAACAGAACCAGAAGCGTGGAAACAAGGAACAGGCTGACAGTGACCAGAGGGAAGGTGGGAGGGGGATCAGAGTAGAAAGAAGGGGAAGAGTAATCAATGAACAGTCAATGACCCATGGGCATGGACAGGAGGGTGGGGATTGACTTGAGAGCCAGGGGTGTGGGCAAGGGAGGGGCGAGCAACGAGGGAAAATTTGGACATCTGTAATAGAACAACAATCAGTAAAAATATGTACATAGTGATTATGAAGATTTTCATTGAATTTAAATATTTTTGTGTGAAATTAATACAAATGTTCATGTCTGATAGAGTTCTTATGTGAAAGATCAGTTCATTGTGGTCCATAACAAAATCTAAAATATATGTGTCGTTGTTGGTAAATGAATTGATCATATCAGTTGAATAAACTTATAATATACTTGGCTTTTTATTTTTCTGCCCTTTGGCTATTATTTACTATGATTCCTTGAAGTTAATTCCAGAGCTTGCTCCAGGATAGGGAGTTGGAATTATATAGAAATTTATATACCTCATTAGCTCCTTGCTTTAATTGAAAAAGAACTATTGGGATTAGAGCTCTCTTAAAGAAATGTTGAAATGCGAAATTTGAATTTAAAAATTTCTTGAAGACTTGAATGCATTTTGCTTGTCAGTATTTAATTTTTTTTTCTTTTTAGTTTTAATTTTGATTTGCTGTTACTACTGATATCTGAGCCAAAGTGGTGATGCTGCCTGAGGGAAATTTCTACAACCTTTAAGTCAACACTGACACGGTAAGAGTGTGTGCCTTTTACCCTTAAAGCCATTTAATTTTTATGTTATAGTTTAGAATTTTAATTTGAAAAAAAAAGATAAAATATATTAACATTTAAAAATACTAAAAATATTTTTAAAATATTAAAAAAGGATAGAATATATTAACATTTAAACATCTTGAAAATATTAAAAATATTAACTGTTAATATATTTTGATATAGAAGTATTAAGAGATAATATTTTAGACCTTTGAATCCTAATCAGTGGTAAGAATTTGAAAGAAAATTTGATGTATTCTTTTCATATTAATTTTTATGTGAGTATTTAATATAGCTATATAGTTTATTAAACTGTGGTCTCATTTTCCTCCCTATATTTTTTGCCCCCTTACTTTTTACTTCCTGAGGTTAAACCAGTTCTTTACTCTCTGAACCTCGTTAATAATAAATTGGTAAGAGAAGTCAAGGTTATAAAACTTAAGCCTAGTCAGTTTTTACCATATCTTACTCTGAACTGAAGTGGTGGTGATTCCAACGGTGGCTAATATGAGGTTTTGAATTATTTAAGGATTAAAATGATCTATTCTGCTCTGTCTTTGAGAAGTAATGCAAGAGTAATAAGATGTAGCAATCTATCCAGACAAGTTATTCCTTTGAGCTTCACTTTCCTCGTGTATAAAATGCCATCATTTGCCTTTAATGTTTTATAGAGTTGTAAAAACCAAATGAGATACTGTATTCGGAAGTGTGGAAGTGTCTTTACACACACACCCCCTCCTTTTTTTTTTGCAAGTGTAGAGGGAGAATAACAGTCCTTTGGTTTTAAGATGGGTATTAAGAGAGAACATATTCTTTTAATATCCTTGCAGAGGTATCCAACCTTTTGGCATTTCTAGGCCACACTGGAGGAAGAGTTGTGTTGGACCACACATTAAATACATTGCACCACGTAATCACAAAACAATCTTATAATGTTTTAAGGAAGTTTATGATTTTGTATTGGGTTGCATTCATAGCCATCCTGGGACACATGGCCACAGGTTGGACACCCCTGCGTAGAGGAAAGGATGCTGGAAGGCTTGATCTCAAATCCTGTCTCACCTTGACCTTGGGAATATCATTACATTAATTTACTGTTGGAAAAGTGAATTTAATTCTCATACCTTTACTTTGCAGATAATTTTTCGGGAATATGTTTGTATTCTTTGATTACAAGGGAATTACCATGTTTTGCTGTATATAATGCACATCTTTTTGCACAAATTTTTGAGGGAAAAATAAGGATGTGCATTATACATGGGTAGTACTAATTTTGTATCTCTATAAATGTTTTTAATTCTTTTGTTTATGCTTATGCGTTAAAAGTAACTGTAGAAAGCAGTAATGATATCCATATGCAAAATAATACCCTGGAATACGATAATTGGTTTTGTTTCTAAATATAAATAAATAAAAAATGAAATTAAAAAATTAAAATGAAAGATGTCTTTTCTGAATGTTTGGGCCAAAAATGTAAGAGTGCCTTATACACAACAAAATATGGTAAGCAAGAAATCAGTATCAGATAACTGGGAAATCTCCAAATATTTTCAAATTAAATATAACATTCTGAAAATACCATGGGTCAAAGAGGAGGTCTAAAAGGAAATTAGAAAATATTTTGAATTGAATGAAAATGAAAATACAGCATATCAAAATTTATGTGATACACCAAAAACAGTACTGCAAGGGAAAAATTACAGTATTAAAGGCTTATATTAGACAACAAAAGTTTTAAAAGAACAATTTAAAGTTTCACCTTAAGAAACTAGAAGACAAAGAGCAAATTAAACCCCCAACAAGCAGAAGAGGAAGACAATAAAAAACAAAAATCATTGAAATAGAAAACAGGAAAACAATTAAAAAAATCAGTGAAGTCAGAAACTGGTTCTTTTGTCTTTTAATATATACAAAATTGATAAATCTGTAGTCATGCTAATCAGGAAAAAGAGGAGAGAGCAGAAATTTCTAATATCAGAAAAGGGACACCATCATTATAAAACCTACAGATATTAAAAGGAAGATAAGGGAACATTATAATGTAGATAAATGGACAAATTCCATCAAAGACGTAACTTCTACCTTACTCAAGAAATTGAATTTGTAGTTAAAAATGCTCCCCAAAAGGAAGTCCCAAGTCCAGATGGACTCACTGGTGTATTCTACCCACCTAATAAGAAATAGAAAATACCAATTATATACAAACTCTTCAGAAAATAGGAAGGGAACACTAATTTATTTTATGAGGCCAGTATTACTCTGATACAAAAAATAAAGATATTTCTCAACAAAATATTAGTAAATTGAATAGTTTATATAAAAAAGATAATATATCATACCAAAGTACAGTTTATTCCAGTGATGCAGGATTGGTTCTTCATTTGGAAATAAATCAGCACAGCTCACAATAGCAACAACTAAACAATTGAATTTTCAAAACCCATATGATCATCACAATAGATGCAGAAAAAAAAATTTAACAATATTTATCAGCCACTCATAATAAAAACTCAGAAAAATAGGATTAGAAGGGAGCAGGAACTTACTAACTTGGTAAAAGGTATGTATGCAAATATTACAGCTAACACTATAATTATTCATGAAAGACCTAAATGCTTTTGCCTAACCTTAGGAACAATGAAGGATGGTAACTCACTTACTCAGAATTGTCCTAGTCAGTGCAGTAAAACAAGAAAGAGAAATAAAAGGCATTTAGATAAGGAAAGAAGAGAAATCAAATTCAGAAGTCCCGTAGCAAAGGACCTGAGAAATGGAGAATTTAGCCTTGTAGCCTCTGTGATATAGAAGAGAGGCTAGGAAGAGATGGGAGTAGACATTCAATGCCAGTAGACAACATCTATATTTTGTTTGTTTTTTGCAGTTATCTGAAAATCATAAAATACAGGGCAACATTTCTATCACTTGTGGTTTTAAGTTACTCTTTTCTTTAAAGTTAAAAGTCCACATACTCTGTTGGGGGAATTTTATTTCATCATTTTCTTTCTATTAATATATACAAACAGCTCTGTGTAGTACTTAAAAGTTATACATTAAAACTTTATTAAATAGCTTTTTAATATAAAGAAAGAGGCTATCTGAAATAACAGCAAGATGTCCTCTTAAAATCTAAGAGAGCAAACAAATGATTTGTTAAATCTATTATTACTGTCATTTGGCTTCGAATGAGTTAAAATTTTTTTGTCTGCATGCTGTCTATGTCTTAGAACGCATTGACATGTTTTATGTAATAATATAAGCCACATAATATGCTTATTGATATCTGCTAAATAATTTTCAAATACTTGTTTAATTTTATGATGGTTGGCAGTGTAGAACTGAGGAAATCTCAAGTTCTATTCCCAGTTGCCTGGGATAGTTATTTGATAAGACAGTGTCTCTGAATGGTTTGCTGGAATTGTTTTCTAAGTCTCTTGCAACAGAATAGTTTTTCAGCATAAGTAGAATGCTTACACATTTATATAAATATATAATGTAATAACTGTGCATTTCTACTTCAATTGCATATTAGTGACCATATCAGTTGGTGTTGTGTATTTGGTATGGTAGAGGCAGTGTGAGTTTAGCAGTTACTAGAAAATCTTGGGTTCAAATGCTAAAAACATAGTCTTTTCGCTTTTGAGCAAAACCTACTTTAAGTCCTGATCCTCCTTTCCCTCATTTGCAAAAGGAGGACAATAATCTTTATTTCCAATTATATTGAGAAATAATTTATACACATCACTACATCACTATATAAATTTAAGGTATACAGCATGATAGCATGAATGTTTGATTTACATATATTGTGAAATGATTATAATAGATTCAGCTAACATGTCTTCTTATATAGAGATGATAATAATAAAGAAGAAAAAAAGGAAAGAATTTTTCTCCTTCTGATGTGAGCTCTTAGGATTTATTCTCTTATCAACTCCTATATATCATACAGCAGTGTTAGCTGTAGTCATATTTACATTACATTCCTAGTGCTTATTTATTTTGTAACTGGAAGTTTATACCTTATGGAAGGTTATAATTTCGATAAGCTGCTGAAAACTTTAGAAATAATACTAGAGCACCTAGCAGACAAACGATACTCAAATGGTGATGTTAACAGAGGATCTTCATTGGAGAAACATTAAAAGACTGGCATCTGAGAGAACCAGTATTGAATTGGATTGGAAAAATTATTCCAATTGCATTTTTCACAGGAATAAAATAAACAAAAAAAATCCTGAAATTTGTATGGAACCACGAGAGACTCCAAATAGCCAAAGACTCCCCAAAAATACAAAAACCAAAACCAAACAGGAACTATATTATAAAACTATAGTAACCAAAACAGTATAGTATTGGCTTAAAAATTGACTCAAATATCAGTGGAACAGAATAGAGTCCAGAAATAAATCCACAATTATATGGTCAATTAATTTACAACAAAAGAGTCAAGAACACACAGTGGGGGAAAGGATAGTTTCTTCAATAAGTGATATTGGGAAAACTGGACAGCTTCATGCAAAAGAATGAAACTAGACTTTTATTTCATACCATACCCCAAAATTAACTCAAAATGGATTAAAGACTTGAATGAACTATCTGAACCATAAAACTCCTCGAAGGAAACATAGGTGGTAAGCTTCTTGACTTCTTGGTCTTGGAGAAAACATTTTGCATCTGTTCAAAGCAAAGGCAGCAAAAACAAAAGTAAGTTAGTGGGACTACGTCAAATTAAAAGCTTTAGCACAGTAAAGGAAGCCATCGACAAAATGAAAGACAACCTATTAAGTGGGAGAAAGTATTTTCAAATCAGATATCTGATAAGGGGTTAGTATAAAAAGTATATAAAGAATTCATACAACTCAATAGCAAAAGATCCCAAACAATATACTTTAAAAATAGATAGAGGATCAAAATAGATATTTTTTCCAAAGATGACGTACAAAATGATCAACAGATGCGTGAAAAGATACTCAACATCA